GCAGTGTACTAACCAGTTCCCCGTATGTTGGGCTTGGGCCCCAGCTCACCACGCTATCGTCCGCTGCCAGAACAATGCTTGTTTTACTGTTAAAAAAGTAAACAGATGCATTTACGATAGTCAACACCATCTGCTGTATAACTAGTTTATCGAGCTGTACAATTGGTGCATAACAGTTGTGCTCAATGCCCTCACTGCACCCCTTGGAGCTAAAAGGTTGTCATGTCAACACAATAGGCTATGAGCCACCTTATTTGGCAATGTTATTTGTTTAACCGCGATTGACATCGATAACTGACTTGGTCTTCCCGCCTTTACCACCAGTTATTGACATGTTATTCCACACTGGTCACTGATTGTGCAGCGCTTGCCATCAATACTCACATGTTAGTCCGTGCTTTTCGATCGGACGGTCGCTCGCATATTTTTCTCAACTGCGCCACAGGCTAGACGGTTTTGCGAACGGTTTTTGCGTGGTTTGTTTTCGCTTGTCTCTGCCTACTACTCATCTTCAACATATTTAGTATATCACACGTGATAGACCTTCTTCATAACTGGCTGCCAATTTAAAATTCTTTTGTATGCATTTAAATCAGCCTCGCTAAACTCGTTTGAGAGTAAATATTCTTTTGAATTATCAACTCAAAAACGAGGTTAGTCACGCTAGTTTGAATTTATAACTGGCAGCCATCTATAGAGAGAACCTACAGAGCACGCCAAATCATAGTTACATTCAAGCAAAATTTCGGCTACTTACGAACACCCGACACTCCGCACGTCCCATCCCGACATGTCCCGAACGGGTTTAGGGTACATGGTAGCGTCACCCGTACTCTTGGTCAAGCCCCAAAAATACAGCTGACCCGAACTTAAAGCCAAGCTGTAACTTGAGCCCGCGTGAACTGACGAAACACCTGAGGAGATGGATTGAGAAAATTACTGGCCTGCCAGCAGGCTCACGTTGGAGCACAAGCGCGCACAGCTGAGCCGCCAGCGCGAAATCGAGCAGCGCCAGACGAGAAGCCGTCTTGGCGCCTCTTCACCAGACTCCTTCCCGCCGGTTCGCCGCTCGCGCGCGTGACTCAAAGTGAGCCTGCTCGCAGGCTAGAAAATTACAACCATGAACAATAAATTTATTGTCCGTGCATTTCTTGGAGAAATTTAAAATAGCGTCTTCAAAAGCTATGTCACACTAGACTAAGTCACTATGTGCCAAGAGCAAAATTGTCCTCAATTTCAAAGAGAACCTCAGAAAAAGGCTGGGGGTATTAGGGCTACACACTCCCAGAACATCCCTTTTTTCTCTCAGCCTGTCGCGCGAGAACTGAAAACAAGAAAAAGCGAGAACGACACAGTTGTATGTGTATTTCACCCCGCAGCTTTTTCCTCTTCCCATTCTTCCACTTTTTGGTCAAGGAAGGGGGACATGTTTATGAGAAGTGCACAATGCGAAAGAAAATGGACTAGCAAAGGAAAGATGTGAAATACTTCAAACAAAGTTTAAATGTTAGCAATACAATGAGTCATACAGCTCGATCGAATCTTAGCATATCCCTTACGTCTTTCAACCTGAGATTTCGCAAACAAATATCTAATAGACTCCGAAAATAACCTAACCCGACAGGACCAGTAAATTGTTTTGCAGTGTATAAAACAGCACTTAACGAAGAACTGGTTTGCACTCACTTTTGCCTTTAAAGAAGGTAACTAGTCTAGGTATATGCTCATCTTTTGGCTGTTGATGACCGAGCCGGCCATAACCTCCAAAGCCCCAAGTAAATACGCGGTCTGTAGTATCTCGTGCAATCTGAAAGCAAAAAACCCTGTAGTGTTATTGAACCGGTTTTTAATTCATATACATGTACACTACCTGCTTGGCTTGTGTTGACATTTTTTAGGAAACCAACACTTTATCACTGTTTATACACAATATTGCAAAACAAACAGACCAATTAGGCAACACAACAAAATAAAATACCATTTCCACCAACAAAGAAACAAAAAAGAACTTGGGACTTGCAAAGTTTCAAACGGTTATAGGAAATTTCAATGGAAAATTAAAACCCCTTCTTTAGGCAAAAACATTCGGGCTCTTCGTTAGTCGTAAACAGTTCCCTGAAAATCACAAAAATAACAAAGCTACGGTCAAAACAAATCTAATACTGTACCGTGTGGTTATTGCCGCAAGCTACGTCCACTATTTTCACATCATCTATGATGTGAGTGAAGCCATCTTTTGTCTTTTCTACAAACACTGCCACATGGCGTGGAAGAACCTCGCAGTCAAAAGCAAGCTTGTTGGAAGTGACGAAGTATTGCCCATCTGTGTTGTGTCCGAGCTGACCATGTTCCGGTCGACCAAATGAATACAGAAGGTTGTTTTCATCGATAAACACGCTAAATTCAGCCCCGCATGCTGTCTTCAAGATCTTCTTGTTGGTTGGGTGAACAATCTTTGTGTGGAAAGGAACAACGCGCAACGGAATTCAATATTAGAGTAATCACTAGAGGTAGTTGACGAATAAGAGGTTTAGTTAAAGGTAACAACAGCTATGGTATACTTGTTTTGACCAGCTGGTCTGTCCTGTGGTTAATACCTTGAACATACTGTATTTCACAGCAGTTTATGAAGAACTGAGCCATCAGTGTCAACCTATTTGTGATCATAATGCACTGTATCAAAAGACATCCATTTTCCTATTGTTCAGATCATCTTCGAATGTCAAAGTGTCCTTACAAGACCAAATGATTAGTCCGAACAATTTTTCACTTAGAAAACGCGAAAGTCTAAAGGAATCATGTATCACCTTTAGTCAGCAAGTGTTAGCTGTAGAGTTCACTCTATGGAGTTTAACCATTAAGAAAAACAAATTGTTTCAGTCTTCGGGAAGTCGACAATGCTCTCCCGCGCTTGGCACTGCTTAAAAGATATTCTTAATCGTACTTTTATGATAGTCAGAAGAGGACCGCTCAGATAACTCGTACAATAAGTCTTGCTGACTGAGGTGGGTCAAATCTACGCGGAGTCTCCACTTGCACATGTCATAACCTTTTCCGTAACTCTCATCTCTTTTCCGTAACTCTTTCTTCATACGAATGACTAATTTGCAGAATGCATTACCTATCTATAAGGTCGGAGGTAAAGTTAGTACCTTTTAAGAAAAAGTTAAAATGGTTTTTTTTTAATTTTTTTTATAATAGATTAAGTTTGGTGTTCAAATCAAGATGAGATTCGTTCATATAAGTTAGTCTGTGCTAAGCGCCGTTGTGCCAATACTGCTACACGGTGTTCTTGTTGACTTTTTTTTTGATTTCTTTTTTTTTTTTTTGGTTTTCATTGTTATTTGTATTGGAGTTCTAGGGAATGGGTTACCAATTTTTTAGGGGGATGGTTAGGTGGTGGGTTAGTGTTCTTTTGTATGCCCACCTGCCTCATGGCGAATCTTTAAAACCTTGTGCTAAAGATATCCTACCCAGAAACAAGGGCAGGGCCGACGGGTCACATCCTGCTCCCCTAAGTTGTCGCGATAACTGCTAGCCTGCTACAGCATCTTGTTTCTGAATTTCCTAGTTCTGCTTTAAATATTCCAATCTGAATCCCTTTTAAGCTTGCTCAGTGCCTCGACAGGCACCTTAGCAGATAAAATATAATACAAAAAAGTCATCAATAAACTACATGTACTACCTGTACTGGTTTTGCCACCACAGGTTTTTGGTGTCCTTGTCCTAACTGAGCCATTTTGTTTCCTCCAAAGCCAAATAGGATACCTTCAGCTGAAACAAGAATCAATAAAATATATCTTATAAGTGATGATAAAACGAGAAATGTAATGATAAAAAAATTAAATCTGCATCACCAACTGCGTTAGTCCCAAATGAATTCTTATTAGACAGTCTGATTAGTAACTTGGATTTTGTAACTGTCAAATGTGCCCTTCTCATAATTTTCAGAACTGTGTTTGTGAGCTGAAGTCTGAATTTTGTTTGACAGATAATACACCCACACACTTCACTCATTGCCTGCCTTTTTCTTTGCCCATACTGATCAAGCTCCAACAAATACAATGCATTTCATAAATTATTATTGATATCTGTCAGATGTTCAAATACTGGAAACACACTGTATTGAATTTCAGCATTCTTTACTTTAAATGAGATATTAAATATATAATAGGGAAATGATAAATGAACAGACAAATGTATTAACTAAATGAACCGCACCTGTAAGCAACAGAGTGTGCCCTTTTCCACAACTAGCTTGAGCAACAGTATAATGCTTCAGACTCTCAATAATCTTGGGTTTGTCACAGCGCACCAGATCTCCATGGCCAAGCTGACCGCAATCATTGCGTCCTTATGAAATGCAAGAGTTAGTTACAGCTATATGTGAATCCCACGAAAGAGCAAAATTCACTAAAGATTTTTTGGACTCTCTCCTTAAGTTATCTTTACACATATTTAACATAATGCTCTGCCATAAGAGTTCAAAAGCTCATTTAGAAGGGCTTACACCAGCAACAGTTACATGTATGTGACTGCAAGTGGGCAGTGCATAATTTGAATGTAGTGGTTGCCTCTGCAGCATGCTCACATGAATGATAATGATGATATTTATGGTTATGGTGATGTTTATGGCATATGTAATGATGATGATGATGATGATGATGCTGATGATGGTAAGGGTGATGATGATGACAATGCCGTGCCAGCTCCGATGAGGATTATGACTATGATGATGATGATGATGATGATAGAGATAGTGATGTTCATGATGATAAAAAGTAGCTGGAGGAGGATAGATCAATGAAGAATCAAATACGACAAAAAGGATAATGATGGCATGTTTGGCTCTAGCATCTGATCAACTTTTTAAAATATCAGTTGAACCACGCCATCCTCACAGAAGGTTTTTTCAGTTTGAACCTGATCCTTTGTTACTGTATTAAAAAAAAAAAAAATATTAAACATCCAATCGACAGTATACATGTACCCACCGAAGCTCATGGCAGTTCCATCGTCACAGATGATGATGCTGTGACAAGCACTTGGTCCTGATGCTACATGCTGCACTCTGATGCTGTTTAGTGAGGAAATGCTATGTGGTTCCCACAAGTTTGGACCTCCGACATTGGCTGTAAAATCAAAACAAAATCGGGTTAGCTAGAATTCCTTTTTCTCCCAGCTGTTCATAAATTTGACCATGCAAGTTTAATTTCTATAATTATATACATATTAAACAGAAAGACTTGTACTACAAGTACATATAGGTAGGATAAGTCTACATTCCAGCTTAGTAGCCATTCAGACCAGCACTTATCACCAGTGTCTGTACAATGAAGTGACTAGGAGTATTCTTAACCCCCCCACCCCTTGACTGAGATGCTAGTCCATCGCAGGGTTACCCACGGCATTAAATTTGGTGGTACGCATCCTTACACCTGGATAGAGAGAGGCACTGTACCCAAGAATACAACACAATGAACCTGGCCATGTTTCAAGCCTGAGCTGCTCCCTTGTGAACCACTTAGCCACCATGAATGCTCCATCTACACTAGATGTACTTCCTCTCATTTAGTCAAAAACTTGGCCGTGGTTTGTGAACCAAGACTGACTCTGGAAACACAGTGCTAATGTTTATTTATTTCTTTAACGTAATTAATTAAGAGCAAATAAATTTGACAGATGCCTCAAACAGAAAAAGATGCACTGTTAATGCATTAACCTCCATCACAACATTCAGCTTTGATTCTTTGAATGATAGATTACTATGATTAGTAACTTTCAACAAAATTTTTGTGAACATTGCCTTGAATTGTCAAAAAGTGGTGTTATTAAAACTAGTTTGCATTTCACACCACCATCTGAGGGCAATTTCTCACAGCAAGAATGGGCTCAAGAGTGGTCACATCTACTAAATTAAGTACCTGCCGATTTTGGGGTCTCCTTTCGTCCAATCAAGTCCCAGTTGGTTCCACCACTAATAAGAAGCTTACCACAGGTATTCAGTAATGCAGCAGACTACGAGATAAACATATCAGCTTAATGAACACTAAATCAATAATTGCATTCTAAATGAAATATGATGACACAATAATGGTCTAGAGTAAACAGCCATCCATCAGTACCTGCAGGTGCATGCTTAAGAGCCTTAAGGAAATTGCCCACAGAAAATATGAGCGCTGATTGGTTTAAAATCATGTTTCTATTTAACAATTAGATTATGAGCTCGAGGCCGAAGGCCGAATCAACTATTACCTCATAGAAATTGAGAGTGTATAATCTAATTGTTTTAGTAAATTCTAACTGAAATAAACACAAATAATAGTTTCTAATTATCTTTCTACACATTATTGAACTTTATGCTTTAAAAATTGCACGCATTGAATTGTCCTTGGTAAATTTGTTGTTGTTTACATGCGTGCACCCATTTTTTCAATTATTTCATGTTTTTAAAGTCAGGAAACCACTAACGTCCTTCTTTTAGTCTTCTAACAAATTTAATTATCCATTTACATCTAAACTTTCTTCCAAAACTTCAGAAAAACGATAAAAACTTTGCATCTACAGCCCTCCTTGCCCCCAACCTGACACCTATGAACTTAAGTCACATTCAGTTCTATTTAAGCTGTGGTTAAAAATGAGGTTTATATCATTGGCCTTTTACATTTCTAATAGCATCTGGATCTAATGTGCTGCTGTGTTTCAGTGTTGTTTAAATGAAGCAGTAGAACAGGTACTGCACTACTTATAATTAACATGTCTGCATGCTTTAATCTTACTGTAATAGAAGCTTTGGATGTGCTATTTAAATCACTTTTGTTTTCACGTCTGTTTTAAAAATCCTCAGCTTTGGAGATTTAGATCTTAGATCTTTCCAGATTTAGATCTTTCTAACTTTTGTTGCATGGTACTTAAATTTTTAAGTCCCTGTGAAAGATCAACAATTTACGCAGGAAAAATTACAACCCTATAAAAATCTCTGTCACATGATAGTTTCCACCAACGATATAAGCCCTCTTTTTAGAGGTTCCTCTGTATTAGTCTTTTACAGATATCTGCTTAATGGATATACTTCAAAGAAGAAAGCTGATGTTCTGATAACTCAAGCACTACAATTATCTGTAAAGATTTAAAGCAATACACCTTAAATGGTAATTGTCATTATATTACATGGATTTAGCCTTAAGCTGTCAAATAATCCTAACTGTCATGTGTCCTCTTTATATCCGAAGTGCAATAACCTTTTAAAACTCAACAACGGCCAGGAAGCCTAGTAAGCTGACATAATGCTTAAATATTTCCTTTAAAGTGATGCCAAATGCAATATTAACAAGACAGATGGTTGGTATTGAAATCCTATGCAAATGACTTTCACTTATTGAATTTTAAACAAAACCGTCTTTGTGCGTTCGATTTGTACTTAAATAAGGCCATAAATTTGCCATTCTGTACTGAGCCTAATTTACCATTCCGGCAATTTGGTTGAAAGCTGTCTCGACCGTCAGTCATGAATATTTTTTTATTTTCGTTTTGAAGCGAAACCATTAAAATCTTTCAGATTGTGATTAGGCAAACTAAAATGCAAGTTTTGATTTCTTGATATTAAAGATCAAAAATTTTAATTGTTAATTTTCTTAGGGTCCTTTTGGGAATCTATGAAATTTAAAACGTAAAGATTCGGAACTTCCAACAGGCAATAAATTACTGCCAATCTCTAAACATGTTTATTAAGCTTATGTTACAATCATTTATGAAAAGACATTTTTGTCAAGTAAGCTTAAATAGTCTGAAAAGCCGACACAAAAAATTGTATGAAGAAAGACGTCTTCGAATAGTGCTTCACTGATTTTATTAAAATCTTGGAAATACTGAGAGGTGCTTATTTATGTGACAGCTTGTTCATATCTCCAAGATGTTAATTTCCCGCGAAAGGATTTTTCTGTTATTGATTTGCTCATAAATGTCACTTCGTATAAACGCTGTATTTTAGTCATTTTCGTGTGTCATCGGAGCAAATTCTTCCTGGGTCGTGATTTCATTGATCGTTTCAAGTAAAATAAATTATTTTCTTCGAGCAAACCGGAAACAGCCGGACAAAAAGATTAGCATGCGAGAATCTTCATCCATTGTCGATCGATCGATCATGCGTTTGCATGAAGATCGAACGATCGTGTTCGCGAAAATCTCTCTAGAGATCTCAAAAGACTGCATCAATGGGAACGCATTAAAAAACTTTCATTCCACTTTCAATGTGCTATGATTCTCGGAAATGGCCCAGAAACCATTAACAATAATTAGATCTCGAACAAAATATTATTGGCGGCGAACCGGCAAAATACACCTCAAAGAAATTCGATCCAGGGATTCGTACATGCTAAAGCGCGCAACCTCAAATTATTTATTGCCATAAATCCACTCTACCTGGACTTTGTCGACTTCTTTGGCCTCTTCAGAATTTTTGTCGGCTAAGGTTTCGTCTGTTAAGTGGTTTTGCTCTATGTGATCTTGACCTGGCGGTGAATCGGGCTGTGTGTCTGAACATTCGATCTTTGATTTCTTTGAATTTTCTTCGTCGCCGTTCTCGAGCTCTTTTCTCTTCTTTGACGTTATTTCCGGATTCGACATTTGCGCAGCAATAAAATTTTGGGAAAGAAGTGTAAAGTTCAGAGAGATTCCCCTTTCCCTTTGTATACCGCCGCCAAATAAAGAACCGCAGTGAATGAACTTTATTTATGACTTGGTGGAGGAGGAATAGGGAGTAGTAGTACCCAGTCCCAAGGACATTGCGTGGTCTCGCGTCCGGCAGTCAAAAAATAATTTTTTCTTCGCAGTTTAAGACAATGTTAGCTAATGTTTAAGTTATTTTTCCCCTTCTTACACTTCTAAGTTAAAACTGGAGGATTCTGGGATTTTATTTAATGAGGAACAAGCCATTTTCGGCAATTTTTTGGTCAGAATGGCACAACCACATCCAACCTGTCAGCCCGGACACGGAAGTCCCAGGTGGCGCCAAATTTAAAGCTTACTCCAGGAAGAAGGCATTTCAAATTTTCATTTCATTACAATCTGTTATGACAGTGGCACTTGCAATTCGTTTTTCCTAAATTTTCAACATTAACGTGGTCTTCAGCGACAAAACGAAAATTGGCCCTACTTAACAAACACGCCGGGCGCCAAGACAAAACAGTTCAGCTGACAGTTGTTCCCTGGAGCAGATTTCAGACACCACCTGTGCAANGGACCGCTCAGATAACTCGTACAATAAGTCTTGCTGACTGAGGTGGGTCAAATCTACGCGGAGTCTCCACTTGCACATGTCATAACCTTTTCCGTAACTCTCATCTCTTTTCCGTAACTCTTTCTTCATACGAATGACTAATTTGCAGAATGCATTACCTATCTATAAGGTCGGAGGTAAAGTTAGTACCTTTTAAGAAAAAGTTAAAATGGTTTTTTTTTAATTTTTTTTATAATAGATTAAGTTTGGTGTTCAAATCAAGATGAGATTCGTTCATATAAGTTAGTCTGTGCTAAGCGCCGTTGTGCCAATACTGCTACACGGTGTTCTTGTTGACTTTTTTTTTGATTTCTTTTTTTTTTTTTTGGTTTTCATTGTTATTTGTATTGGAGTTCTAGGGAATGGGTTACCAATTTTTTAGGGGGATGGTTAGGTGGTGGGTTAGTGTTCTTTTGTATGCCCACCTGCCTCATGGCGAATCTTTAAAACCTTGTGCTAAAGATATCCTACCCAGAAACAAGGGCAGGGCCGACGGGTCACATCCTGCTCCCCTAAGTTGTCGCGATAACTGCTAGCCTGCTACAGCATCTTGTTTCTGAATTTCCTAGTTCTGCTTTAAATATTCCAATCTGAATCCCTTTTAAGCTTGCTCAGTGCCTCGACAGGCACCTTAGCAGATAAAATATAATACAAAAAAGTCATCAATAAACTACATGTACTACCTGTACTGGTTTTGCCACCACAGGTTTTTGGTGTCCTTGTCCTAACTGAGCCATTTTGTTTCCTCCAAAGCCAAATAGGATACCTTCAGCTGAAACAAGAATCAATAAAATATATCTTATAAGTGATGATAAAACGAGAAATGTAATGATAAAAAAATTAAATCTGCATCACCAACTGCGTTAGTCCCAAATGAATTCTTATTAGACAGTCTGATTAGTAACTTGGATTTTGTAACTGTCAAATGTGCCCTTCTCATAATTTTCAGAACTGTGTTTGTGAGCTGAAGTCTGAATTTTGTTTGACAGATAATACACCCACACACTTCACTCATTGCCTGCCTTTTTCTTTGCCCATACTGATCAAGCTCCAACAAATACAATGCATTTCATAAATTATTATTGATATCTGTCAGATGTTCAAATACTGGAAACACACTGTATTGAATTTCAGCATTCTTTACTTTAAATGAGATATTAAATATATAATAGGGAAATGATAAATGAACAGACAAATGTATTAACTAAATGAACCGCACCTGTAAGCAACAGAGTGTGCCCTTTTCCACAACTAGCTTGAGCAACAGTATAATGCTTCAGACTCTCAATAATCTTGGGTTTGTCACAGCGCACCAGATCTCCATGGCCAAGCTGACCGCAATCATTGCGTCCTTATGAAATGCAAGAGTTAGTTACAGCTATATGTGAATCCCACGAAAGAGCAAAATTCACTAAAGATTTTTTGGACTCTCTCCTTAAGTTATCTTTACACATATTTAACATAATGCTCTGCCATAAGAGTTCAAAAGCTCATTTAGAAGGGCTTACACCAGCAACAGTTACATGTATGTGACTGCAAGTGGGCAGTGCATAATTTGAATGTAGTGGTTGCCTCTGCAGCATGCTCACATGAATGATAATGATGATATTTATGGTTATGGTGATGTTTATGGCATATGTAATGATGATGATGATGATGATGATGCTGATGATGGTAAGGGTGATGATGATGACAATGCCGTGCCAGCTCCGATGAGGATTATGACTATGATGATGATGATGATGATGATAGAGATAGTGATGTTCATGATGATAAAAAGTAGCTGGAGGAGGATAGATCAATGAAGAATCAAATACGACAAAAAGGATAATGATGGCATGTTTGGCTCTAGCATCTGATCAACTTTTTAAAATATCAGTTGAACCACGCCATCCTCACAGAAGGTTTTTTCAGTTTGAACCTGATCCTTTGTTACTGTATTAAAAAAAAAAAAAATATTAAACATCCAATCGACAGTATACATGTACCCACCGAAGCTCATGGCAGTTCCATCGTCACAGATGATGATGCTGTGACAAGCACTTGGTCCTGATGCTACATGCTGCACTCTGATGCTGTTTAGTGAGGAAATGCTATGTGGTTCCCACAAGTTTGGACCTCCGACATTGGCTGTAAAATCAAAACAAAATCGGGTTAGCTAGAATTCCTTTTTCTCCCAGCTGTTCATAAATTTGACCATGCAAGTTTAATTTCTATAATTATATACATATTAAACAGAAAGACTTGTACTACAAGTACATATAGGTAGGATAAGTCTACATTCCAGCTTAGTAGCCATTCAGACCAGCACTTATCACCAGTGTCTGTACAATGAAGTGACTAGGAGTATTCTTAACCCCCCCACCCCTTGACTGAGATGCTAGTCCATCGCAGGGTTACCCACGGCATTAAATTTGGTGGTACGCATCCTTACACCTGGATAGAGAGAGGCACTGTACCCAAGAATACAACACAATGAACCTGGCCATGTTTCAAGCCTGAGCTGCTCCCTTGTGAACCACTTAGCCACCATGAATGCTCCATCTACACTAGATGTACTTCCTCTCATTTAGTCAAAAACTTGGCCGTGGTTTGTGAACCAAGACTGACTCTGGAAACACAGTGCTAATGTTTATTTATTTCTTTAACGTAATTAATTAAGAGCAAATAAATTTGACAGATGCCTCAAACAGAAAAAGATGCACTGTTAATGCATTAACCTCCATCACAACATTCAGCTTTGATTCTTTGAATGATAGATTACTATGATTAGTAACTTTCAACAAAATTTTTGTGAACATTGCCTTGAATTGTCAAAAAGTGGTGTTATTAAAACTAGTTTGCATTTCACACCACCATCTGAGGGCAATTTCTCACAGCAAGAATGGGCTCAAGAGTGGTCACATCTACTAAATTAAGTACCTGCCGATTTTGGGGTCTCCTTTCGTCCAATCAAGTCCCAGTTGGTTCCACCACTAATAAGAAGCTTACCACAGGTATTCAGTAATGCAGCAGACTACGAGATAAACATATCAGCTTAATGAACACTAAATCAATAATTGCATTCTAAATGAAATATGATGACACAATAATGGTCTAGAGTAAACAGCCATCCATCAGTACCTGCAGGTGCATGCTTAAGAGCCTTAAGGAAATTGCCCACAGAAAATATGAGCGCTGATTGGTTTAAAATCATGTTTCTATTTAACAATTAGATTATGAGCTCGAGGCCGAAGGCCGAATCAACTATTACCTCATAGAAATTGAGAGTGTATAATCTAATTGTTTTAGTAAATTCTAACTGAAATAAACACAAATAATAGTTTCTAATTATCTTTCTACACATTATTGAACTTTATGCTTTAAAAATTGCACGCATTGAATTGTCCTTGGTAAATTTGTTGTTGTTTACATGCGTGCACCCATTTTTTCAATTATTTCATGTTTTTAAAGTCAGGAAACCACTAACGTCCTTCTTTTAGTCTTCTAACAAATTTAATTATCCATTTACATCTAAACTTTCTTCCAAAACTTCAGAAAAACGATAAAAACTTTGCATCTACAGCCCTCCTTGCCCCCAACCTGACACCTATGAACTTAAGTCACATTCAGTTCTATTTAAGCTGTGGTTAAAAATGAGGTTTATATCATTGGCCTTTTACATTTCTAATAGCATCTGGATCTAATGTGCTGCTGTGTTTCAGTGTTGTTTAAATGAAGCAGTAGAACAGGTACTGCACTACTTATAATTAACATGTCTGCATGCTTTAATCTTACTGTAATAGAAGCTTTGGATGTGCTATTTAAATCACTTTTGTTTTCACGTCTGTTTTAAAAATCCTCAGCTTTGGAGATTTAGATCTTAGATCTTTCCAGATTTAGATCTTTCTAACTTTTGTTGCATGGTACTTAAATTTTTAAGTCCCTGTGAAAGATCAACAATTTACGCAGGAAAAATTACAACCCTATAAAAATCTCTGTCACATGATAGTTTCCACCAACGATATAAGCCCTCTTTTTAGAGGTTCCTCTGTATTAGTCTTTTACAGATATCTGCTTAATGGATATACTTCAAAGAAGAAAGCTGATGTTCTGATAACTCAAGCACTACAATTATCTGTAAAGATTTAAAGCAATACACCTTAAATGGTAATTGTCATTATATTACATGGATTTAGCCTTAAGCTGTCAAATAATCCTAACTGTCATGTGTCCTCTTTATATCCGAAGTGCAATAACCTTTTAAAACTCAACAACGGCCAGGAAGCCTAGTAAGCTGACATAATGCTTAAATATTTCCTTTAAAGTGATGCCAAATGCAATATTAACAAGACAGATGGTTGGTATTGAAATCCTATGCAAATGACTTTCACTTATTGAATTTTAAACAAAACCGTCTTTGTGCGTTCGATTTGTACTTAAATAAGGCCATAAATTTGCCATTCTGTACTGAGCCTAATTTACCATTCCGGCAATTTGGTTGAAAGCTGTCTCGACCGTCAGTCATGAATATTTTTTTATTTTCGTTTTGAAGCGAAACCATTAAAATCTTTCAGATTGTGATTAGGCAAACTAAAATGCAAGTTTTGATTTCTTGATATTAAAGATCAAAAATTTTAATTGTTAATTTTCTTAGGGTCCTTTTGGGAATCTATGAAATTTAAAACGTAAAGATTCGGAACTTCCAACAGGCAATAAATTACTGCCAATCTCTAAACATGTTTATTAAGCTTATGTTACAATCATTTATGAAAAGACATTTTTGTCAAGTAAGCTTAAATAGTCTGAAAAGCCGACACAAAAAATTGTATGAAGAAAGACGTCTTCGAATAGTGCTTCACTGATTTTATTAAAATCTTGGAAATACTGAGAGGTGCTTATTTATGTGACAGCTTGTTCATATCTCCAAGATGTTAATTTCCCGCGAAAGGATTTTTCTGTTATTGATTTGCTCATAAATGTCACTTCGTATAAACGCTGTATTTTAGTCATTTTCGTGTGTCATCGGAGCAAATTCTTCCTGGGTCGTGATTTCATTGATCGTTTCAAGTAAAATAAATTATTTTCTTCGAGCAAACCGGAAACAGCCGGACAAAAAGATTAGCATGCGAGAATCTTCATCCATTGTCGATCGATCGATCATGCGTTTGCATGAAGATCGAACGATCGTGTTCGCGAAAATCTCTCTAGAGATCTCAAAAGACTGCATCAATGGGAACGCATTAAAAAACTTTCATTCCACTTTCAATGTGCTATGATTCTCGGAAATGGCCCAGAAACCATTAACAATAATTAGATCTCGAACAAAATATTATTGGCGGCGAACCGGCAAAATACACCTCAAAGAAATTCGATCCAGGGATTCGTACATGCTAAAGCGCGCAACCTCAAATTATTTATTGCCATAAATCCACTCTACCTGGACTTTGTCGACTTCTTTGGCCTCTTCAGAATTTTTGTCGGCTAAGGTTTCGTCTGTTAAGTGGTTTTGCTCTATGTGATCTTGACCTGGCGGTGAATCGGGCTGTGTGTCTGAACATTCGATCTTTGATTTCTTTGAATTTTCTTCGTCGCCGTTCTCGAGCTCTTTTCTCTTCTTTGACGTTATTTCCGGATTCGACATTTGCGCAGCAATAAAATTTTGGGAAAGAAGTGTAAAGTTCAGAGAGATTCCCCTTTCCCTTTGTATACCGCCGCCAAATAAAGAACCGCAGTGAATGAACTTTATTTATGACTTGGTGGAGGAGGAATAGGGAGTAGTAGTACCCAGTCCCAAGGACATTGCGTGGTCTCGCGTCCGGCAGTCAAAAAATAATTTTTTCTTCGCAGTTTAAGACAATGTTAGCTAATGTTTAAGTTATTTTTCCCCTTCTTACACTTCTAAGTTAAAACTGGAGGATTCTGGTATTTTATTTAATGAGGAACAAGCCATTTTCGGCAATTTTTTGGTCAGAATGGCACAACCACATCCAACCTGTCAGCCCGGACACGGAAGTCCCAGGTGGCGCCAAATTTAAAGCTTACTCCAGGAAGAAGGCATTTCAAATTTTCATTTCATTACAATCTGTTATGACAGTGGCACTTGCAATTCGTTTTTCCTAAATTTTCAACATTAACGTGGTCTTCAGCGACAAAACGAAAATTGGCCCTACTTAACAAACACGCCGGGCGCCAAGACAAAACAGTTCAGCTGACAGTTGTTCCCTGGAGCAGATTTCAGACACCACCTGTGCAACATAAATAAATAAATAAATAAATAAATAAATAGATAAATAAATAAATAAACAAATGAACAAATGAACAAACACCTCAAAGAACGAAACGAACCACCTGACAAATAGACTCGATTTCCAGCCGTTTTGTGTACCAGTGTTCTTTTTTTTTTCTTTTTTTTTTATCCACACCACGAAGGGTCCGGGGACGGGGACTACTCCCAAAACGGCCGTAAAAGGAGCGCGCCTGACAAACTAATAACAGACGGTATAAATTCTTCTTCGTTTATAGGATCGATAGAGCTTTTTTATATATCAACATTTTTGTGCCTTGTGCGTCCAGGATTGCGCATGCTAAAGACCCCACATTTCCCTGGCTGACAAATAGTTTTCACAACCTTTTGGTCGGGTAGCTCAAAGAATGAAAAATAAATCAATCAATCAATAAATAAATAAATAAATTAATTAATTAATTAAATTAAATTAAAAAACCGCTTGGCAGTAGACTGCGAGCAATCTCCTTCTTTCCCTTTATCGATCGCACGGAGGATATCAGGAACAAAAATTGACTGCAGTGGCCGATTCATCCGGGTGCTGGAAAAAACGTAGGTTGCAAAGAACTGATGTCTCGGCTGTCCAAAAAGGAGAAGGAAAGCCCGGCTCAATTTTTTTCGCCATTTCTCAGGAAAGAGTACACCCCGGAAACTATATTTCCTTGGTCTCCTAGATCCCACTGACTATCCATGGATAAATAATCCGTAGGCTGGCGCGATTGATTTTGACCATTCTATGTGGCAGCAACAATACCTTTGCCCATCTATGAAACTGCGAACGATGCGACCTTCGCAGAGTCAATTTTCGCAACTTCGACCTTTCCCACACTCCCTGAAACGTTTCCGGTCAATTTAGCATTAAGAGGGTACGAGTTCAGTATCCTTTTGTCACTACGATTTGGTCCAAAACTTGGCTTGCACTTTTGAAAAAGAGACCTCTACCTGTATTAGAAAGGGATGCGTACAAGAGTAGGAATTTTGCACAAAAAAATTGAAAAATTGGTATGACGACAGGAAGGAAGGTAGGCAGATTGGTAGGTAAGGAGGAAAACAAGTAAGCAGGTGGGTGGGGTAGGGGGCAGATTGGCAGGTGGATAGCTATAGGGAGGTAGCTAGGGAGGTCAATGCCCCCGCTACAACATCTAAGGGAAATTTCTCTATCATTTCGGGTCTGGGCCCAATCCATCGCAGCGCCCCCCACCCCCCACCCCCCACAGTATTTTTGTCAGGCCGCTTGTCCAACGACGCCTGCCGAAACTGACTGTAGACTCCAGGGTGGAGAATTAAGCACTACCCATAGACAACTCCGATCCATTTTTCAGTAATTCCCTCTGCTGATAGTCGAACGTTCAATGCAAACTACTATTAATTCACCGATCTGGTTGTTTTAATTTTGAGAAGTTTATTATTTTAATACAAAACAAGTGTTACAATGAATTTGTTTTAATAAATCTGAAACACAAAATACTCGAATGGAAATAAATCATGTCTTATCAATGGGACAGAAAAAAAAGATAAAGAGGCCTGGTTTCCTTAAAGCTGCCTCTTTTTGAAATTTTAAGATTAAGAAATCAATCCCCTAAATTTGAAACAACCTTAGAGTTTTTCCTTTCATTTCAATGCTCAACCTTAATCTCAGCAGCCAGGTAAAAGGAAATTTGAACCAACCAGTTTTTAGACATTTTGAACTCAAAATGTTACAGGTTAGCCTGAGGTTAGATTACCCAGATCATTATTGCTTCTGCACATTGGCTCATAAATGCCTCTCAGACACTAGCCTGAGTGGTGTTCGATCTTCAGCCGTCTTATTAAAGACCATGTTCGTAACACACATGGAAAGGGGCTGAAAACCAGACTCCCAAAACGGCTGGAAATCGAATCTAGCATGCATTCAGTCGCTTCATATTTCTTGTAAAACACTTGTCGATTACGAAAATATTTTAACATCCGCAGAAAACGCTTCATAAACAAAGAGACTTTCACGTGAAATGGACGGGGACGCTTAGGTCTATTCAAGGGCTATTTATGATAACTTTTGCATACTTATACCTTGCAATGAGCTAGAAAGGGCTGGAATAAAAAAAAAAAAATAGGAGAATCCCGACGGCATTGTAAGAATTTATACGATACGATAGTTCGTTATACACTTAGATCGATCAGCCATAAAATCTATAAAATTTGTTCACAAATGAAGGCATTCGATGACGTCTTTATCATCTACAAAGTTAGTGCAGCACTTTTATTACCGTCGGTCTTAGATGGTCCCTTTAGGGGGCCTTAAGGGGACCGGATTGGTCTCATGCAATATGATTTATTATTTTTTTTCCGACGAGCATCCCCACCCCTCTAACAATGGAAGCCCTGGTCCCTGGGACCACAACGGGACTGATCAATAAGTGCCATTAAAGTCAGTCTTGTACTCTTTGGGAATGCAATGTGGTCCAGTGGGGGTCCCATATCGCTCAACCTTCTGTCCGTTGAACTTCTCGTCTTTGGGCGTAATCAAGATGGCGTTTGTCGATCCCATGGAAGGGTCTTCGTCGAAGTAGTTGAAAGGTCGAATAAAGAAGTGGGCGGAGTTTGCAGCTGTGGCGGTATTGGGCAAGTCTTCTGAGTGTGGAATGTGCATGGCTCCTATTGTTACCCAGGCTACAAGGTCCTCGTTCACGATGGAGTCGTTATCCATAAGATACTTACGGAAATCAAGCTGTGTCGGTGAAGAAGAAATAGAGCAAAAAATAACAGCATAAGATATCACGGGGTTTCGATTGATCAGTGACGTAACTGCGATACTCTAGGTCTTAAAACCATGTTTAAGTCCTCAGCGTATAACGCCCGAAACCTTGATACCAGAGGTATATAAAATGTCATGACGGGACTTATGGAGATCGCCCAGTGTACAAACATTTATTAAGCCGTTGGTAATACTTCGGAAAGAAAATATCCTTTTGCTCTTTTACTCTTTCTTTAGAAAGTTTCATAAGCTGTCTAAACCGCGGAATTTACGTTGACTCCTTTATCAGTATGACAATTAAACAGGGCCTTCCAAAATAGTTGTATGCTTATTTTCTTCGAATTCAAGGGATAATATTATTTATAGAATATCATGGCGATATGATCACCGATTTTTAGGTTAACTTTGGAATTAACCTCATCTCCGGTTTGTGATTGGATGCCAAAAGGTTTTTACATCCAGTCAATCACCTCCACCAATAAGACATTTTGGTATGGCCGAATGACATGCCCATGTTAGCGTTATGAAAATATGCCAACTACACATACCAAATACAGAGCACAGAATTCAAATACGCCCCCACCCTATTGGTATCTCCCTTACATCAGAAGCTGATAGAAATAAAATAAAAGTCCGCCGAATCAGTGAAATGAGACTAACCTGTGGATTAGTAGGTGAGTTTTGGTTATAGATGGAGCTACTCTGGGTCTCATTTTCTTTGTACTTAGTAACGGCCATTTGATATAGGGACCAGCTCATCATGGGCGTGATCATCCAGTCTTCAGGATACAGCTGTTTCAACATGGATTCCAGCTGTATGCGATACCCCTTCTTTACACCCATCCTGTTCTCCTCGGCGTCATTAAAGAAGTTCAAGTACTTTGGGTGGTCGAAGTTAAACTTATACGCAGCCTCCAACTCCGTTGTCTTCACGCTTCGTTTTAGAACTTTCTGCACACGTCTTCTGTTGGGGAACCAGCGCTCAGTGATGTTTTCAATACCAATTTCGATGGTCTCGTATGAATTCTTTCGTCCGCCGATGTCTAAGTCAACTTTGTAGTTGATCAGATGATCGTGTGTACCGCTTGTGAAATGCTCGTGCAGTGGATAAGCGTATGGATGCATATTAGCGTCGTAAAAGGAACCATAGATATAGCCAGAGGCTGACATTTTAACTTCTATGACGCCGTTCTGGTAAAATATGAAGTCGAACAAATAATCATAGTTATATACCGTGGCAATCGTGCGCAGAATTAATACCTGATTGGCCATTCCACCGTAGAACCTGTACCCATTCACAAAGTTGTTATCGTAATGTCGACGCAGTGGAATTCCATCATTCAGTTCAAACACACAGACAGCGTTGCGAAAGGTTTTCGGACTTTCCATTCCGATCATGTGCACCAGATCAAAGCAGGAAGCTGTTTCTGGGACATCCACTCCAAGGACCATCTCATAGCTGCTCTGTCCCATTTTCCACGCCCCGTCAATGAAGTTATTCCAAGACGGGAGTGGGTAATAACCTGCGTATGTGGCGGCCGCCTCCTGAAGGCTGAGCTCGTATACGATTCTGTCTCCGTTGAACTGGATATCGTAAAGCTGTATTCCACTATTGGAGTCCATTCTGAAGTCAAAAGACCACGACATGTAGCTAATATGGTGGCCTTTCACAGTATATCGCTGGCCATCAGGTTGGTATTGTTCAGGGCCTCTCAT